GGAAGGGGGCTGGGGTAGAGTTCGGGCAGATGGCCTTGTTTGGTCCTTTCTTTCTCTGCATGTCAACCACTGGGAGAAACTGAGGCTGGGCCTCCTGGTGGAGGAGCCTCCAGCTCTCCTCTTCCTGTCCAGCAGGCCTGTGGCCCTGTTTGTCTAGGAAGCCTGGCTAGGAGGAGGGGTTGGAGGCCCTGGCTGGGAGGAGCCATGCCCCTCACTAGTTTACCCATCCATTCCCCACAGGCACTGGCCTGGGACCATCCACTAGAACTCTCTGGTGGACCTGGGGCTGGGGGCTGGCGCCGCGCCGCAGCCCTGCCTGGCTCCCCAGCACCCCTGGCTCTGCCTGGGCTGTAGCTTCGGGATCCCGCGGGGACGCGCCCGGCATGTCTGCATCCAGAACCCGCGATCCCCTCTGCTCTCTCGCCAAACACCGTTAATGGCTTCTCCCAGCTACTGAAACGGCAGCTGCCTCCAGTGCTGGCGGCCTCCTGCTCCTTCGGGGCCGCCCCCGCCCGCCTGCGTCCTGGCCACCGCCCCACGTACTCTGCTGCTTGCTTTCGTTGCTGCTGGCAAGGGGAGCCTGTCGGCTCAGGTTTCCAGTGAGTGAGCTAGTGAGTGGCCCTCCCTGCTCCGTTTGTGGAGGGCACCCGAGCCTGCAGACTGCCCTGGCGGCCGTTCACCCAGGGCCAGTCTGTATGCCTGCCTCGGAATGGGGTTGCTGGTGGGAATCAGACCACCCCACTGGGCCTGGTCCCTTCATGTACCTGGGCCAGCCTGGCCAGCCCACTGATGCCAACCCAGGGACACCACCAGCAGCCCAGGGCATGGGTGTGCGTATGTGGCTTTGACTGTCCTGGGCCAGGGAGACAAGACTCCCAGTTCCCACTCTTGCCCTCAGCCTGGTGGTTCCCAAGAGCCACCCTTTGTGTCCTAGTACCCCTGCTGGCTGAGGATTGCCATTTCAGGGGTGGTCAGTGAGGAGGGGTAGATGGTGGAAGCCAGCTTCCCCTGGTACTGAGTGAGCACTCTCTGCAGGGTTCCTGCAGCGACCGACAGGCAGAGTTGACCTTTAGAACTGCATCCTGGCTTGTGCTGGGCTTGGTGGGGTGAAAGCCTGGCCTACCACACTGGACTCAGGCAGGGCCAGTTTCTTGACAGCAGTCCCCCAGAGTGGGCTGGAGGTTTTGGTGCGGGCTCTTGAGGAGGACATCTGGAGAGCAGGCCTGTGGAGCAGAGCTGGGTGTTGGAGGGTGAGGGTGAGGGCCCATCCAGGAGGCGGGCAGCTGGAGCTCTGTGTATGGGGGTGCTCAGGGTTAGGGTTTTCCAGAGGAGATTCAGCGGCCTAGAGCCAGGGAGTGGGCTGAGCAGGTGTGCAGCTAGAAGCAGCACTGTGTCTCTGAATATGCCCCTCAGCTCACGAAGACGTAGGACGGCCTGCGCCCATGTCCCCCACCCCAGCATTCCTGCAGAAACACCTGGGACGCATCTGCTCTCCAGAGTAGGGGTGTGTGGCACAGGAGCACCCACTGGACCTGTCTAGCTCCGGGAGAGGGCCAGGCTGACTGGGCCTGGGGCACCCCCTAGGTGAGGGGTGCTTCTCCCTACCCTGCAAACCAATGCGTGGCTCACTGTCCCCACTCGCTAGTGGGAATCTGGGCAGTGGGGCCACATGTGCCTGATGACTGAGGGATGGGCCAGCAGATGGTGGGAGGAAGAGGGAGGCCAGGGTGTCTGGGCACAGACTGTGGGGCAGTCTGACAGGAGGTGGGAAGGTGGCTCCTCCTGCTGGCCCCAGCCCCTTCTGGGTTCCCTTGACGGGTTTGGACTTGGGTCAGGAAGAGGTTGTCTTCCCTCTGGTCTGTCGCGAAGGCCTCTGGTGTGGGCTCTATGGGCCAGCGTCCCTGCTGGAACCTTCGTGGGGTCAGTGCTGCAGGTGAGGGAGCTCATGGCGGCCTGCAGGCCCTGAGCACTTTGACAGAGATAAGACACCTCGGGAGGGGGAGGCAGCAGCAGAGGCACAGGAAGGCTGTAAGCTCCGAGGCGGGCGTTTTGTGCAGGGGGAGCTGAGTGAGCACTGAACACTACCCGCATTGTAATCGGAGAGGGGCCAGGGGAAGAGAGAGACTGAGCAAGGCTGCTGACCCCGAGCTCCCGGGGGACAGGTGGGAGAGGCGGAACGAGGAGAGAGTGAAGGATTCCAGAGGTGGGCCGGCTTCCTCTCTCGCAGACAGACACGGGAGGGAGGTGGGCAGCGGGCCAGGCCCGTACCTGCAGTTCCAATCTGCGGTCCTGACAGCTGCAGCCACTTTGGGGAGGGGGAGGGGATAGGGCTCATCGAGAGCGGAAAAGTCCCAGCCGACACATCAGCTAGTTGCTGCCGTGTCCGGTGCAGTCTGGGGTGGGGGGACCCCTGCCCAGCCCTATTCCACAGGCCTGTCTTTGGGGCTGGGCTTGTGTCTATCTGTGCCTAAGCCAGCCTGGGCCTGGGTCTTGTAGTGTGGTGCCTGACCCAGAGGGGTCACATGTGTTTCCTGGCAGCCTGCAGGTGCTGAGCAGGGCGGGGTGGCTGGTCTGGGGCGCAGGCAGCCTGGTGATGAATCATGTGGTGCTGCCAGCGGCTCGTTCCCCAGGCTGGGGACGGGGAGCTGACAGCCGACGCTGGACCAAGCGTTTCCAGCTCAGCTTTGCTTGAGGGGCCTCCCGTCCTTGCCAGCTGCCTCTGTGGGGCACATGCAGAAGGAGCCCTGCGTCCTCATCCTACAGCCCCCCAGCTTGGTGGAGGGCAAGGCCAGACTCTGGAAGGGAGCCAGGGTCCGAGGTGGGCAGGGAGCACCTGCCATCCTTTAGCTGCCGGCTGTGCTGTGGGACTCGTGTGGGGCCACAGGCTGGGGAGGCCCCCGCCACCCCCGGTCTGGCTTGAATCTGGAGTGGTGGAGGGTGATGGAGTGTTCCTCCCAACCCCTCCCTTCCTCCTGCTGGCTGTTGGGCCAGCCCCTCGGCTGCTGCTACCGGTGCAGCTTGGGGAGCAGCCGGGCCGGCTGCCCAGACCTGAGGTTGGCCAAGCTGCAGCCGCTGCCGGAGTCAGGCCCCACGATAGAGGCCTTGGCCGGGCGCGTGCCGCACCCTGACTATCTGGGCCCCTGGAGATCCTTCCAACCCAAGGCCTGTTGCTGTCCCTGTCCCCTTCCACCTGGCCCTGCTTAACCCCCCAGCCATAGCCCTCCACTCAGCCTTGCTCAGACCCCAGGCCTGCACTCCCTGTCCTTGTGCTCTGCCAGGTCTTCCTGCCACAGCTGGCCCTCCTCCTGTACCTGGCCCAGGCTGTGTGGTGCCCACTGGTGCCAGCCATCAAGCCCCCACTGCTCCAGCCCCTGGCTGCCTACACAGTCTCCAGTCTTGCCTGCTGTGTAGGCTGGCAGCCTCTGCTCTCCGGGGCTGTGCCCCCTTGTGCCCCTGGTTTGGTCTCTGGGGGCTTTCCCTCTTGTCCCCCTGGTTTGGTCTCTGGGGACTTTCCCTCAGACATGCTCTCTGCAGTGCATGTCTTCTGGTTTATCCCCGACACTGCCCAGGCCACTCCAACCAGAGGTGGCTGTCTGCACCCCTGCCTGGCCCAGATCTGTGTGTGAGGGGAGGCAAGCTGCAGTGCTCACGGGACCTGCAGCGGGGACTGGCACCTCTTGCCAGGTCATGCCCTGCACTCTGCCCAGCATCATACAGTGATCTTGTTGTTTGGGAGGGCGGCTGGGCAGGGTGCTGCATGGAGAACACATGGGAGGGAAAGAACCTCCCTCAGCCCCCAGCTGCACCCCTGGTCCCCCGGGCCTGGCTTCCCTGGGCAGGCAGGGGTTTCTGCAGCAAATGTGCCCTCTCCTCCCCCCTCTGGCCAGCTGTGGGCTCCTGCAGGATTAAGGGGAGGAAATTTGGGGTTGGGTTTCTCTCTGAATGAAACCTGCCGCTGAGACTTTTTATCCTGTTATATTTCTATCACATTGGACACAGCCCACCCCCCATCCGTAATGGCTCTGGCTTTGAGAATTTCCTACAAAATTACACCACTGCTTCCTGCTCCATGTTCCCTGGAGCCCATCATACAGAGGAGGGGCAGCTCTGGCCCTGGCCTGTGATGGTGCCCAGGGCTTCAGCACCTGGGCTCCCCAGGGCAGGGGCACAGCAGGGCCTGTGCCGAAGGCCAGGAGGGCAAGGGTCTGAGGAGCGTCCTGGGACACCAGCCTCTTGCACCTGGCACCCTTACCTACCACCCGGCCGGAAGTCAGGCTGCTGGCTGCCCGGATCAGTGGGGAAGGTGGTCTGCATGGGACTGCCTGGCCCTTCTTCTCTACTGTGCCCACAGAGCTCTGCCACTAAACTAAATTGTCCCCTGTAGGACTGTAATAACAGTTGGCCTGCTGGGCAGGAGCCCAGTGGGGGCTAAACCGATCCCTTTGGAAGCCAGTGGGGGGTTCTCAGGAAGTTGGGTGGGACAGAGTGGTAGATATCCAGGAGTCCTCCTTCAGTGTGCTGTTCAGGGCAGGGTACCTTATGGCCCAATGACAGCTTACAGAGACAGGAGAGCAGGGTGGCCCTGGCAGGCTGTGGGCCCAGGTGGGCACCAGTGTGGCACTTATATGGCTGTCACCTGGCTGCTATCAGGCCAACCCTATGTCCACTCTGAGGAGTACTGTTGGGCCAAGCCGCCTATCTATAAGCCAGCCTAAGGCCCCACACTGCGCATGTCCGTCTGTCCCTGCAGGGCAGTGGGCTTGCCCCCTCCTGGGTCCCTCTCCTCTGGCCTGTCCTCAGCCCCACCCCACGGTTTCCCAATAGGAGACTCTTATTGGGTGCCTCTGCGAGACTGCCTCAGTCTAGTCCTAGAAGCCGGGGCTTCTCAGAGAACTGGGGCGCCTCAGGCAGGGGAGGATGGAGCTCCGGGGGTGGGAGTGCAAGCTCAGCTGAGGGCGCGTGGTGAGTTCAGAACCTTTCAAGAGGATAGTCTGCCTCCATATTTGGAAGGTAGTGTTCCATTTTTTTAATTATACAAAATTTCCACACTTTATATTATCACATCAGAGATGCAGGATGCCAACACTTAGCCCAGGTAGGGAGCCAGCATGGAAAGTTCCAGTGGCCGGGCGAGTGCTGAGCTACTCAAAGTCAGGCCGCTGCCTGTCTGTCCATCTGTGTCCGTGGGCCCTGCTCACAACCAGGGGCGGGTCTGGCCTGGTGGGTGCTCTCTGGGCCCATGCCCAGGTCAGGTCCAAGTTGGGGCTCTGGGCATCCCCGCTGGCATCCACCTTCGCCAGGCATCCGCCTTGGCTGCTCGGGCCCTCCTCCTAACTCCGAATTGCCGTTTTTCTGTCTCGGTCCTTGCTCTGCAGAGGGAAGGAGGGGTGTCAGGGCCAGGGCAGAGGCCCTGTGTCACCCAGTGCCAGCCCTGGCCTCTCTGGCTTCCTGCTGGGTGCTGTCTCAGATGGCCAGTGCTAAGGCACCCCCTTCCTGGCTCTCCCCCCCCCCCCCCCACGTGCATTTTGGGGAGGGGCGTATACTGCTGCACAGCCGAAACTGTAAAATTAAATTTCCCAGATGTTCAGGCCCCAGGAGCTCGCGCGTGCTGTCTGGAGAGGAAATGGGGATTGGGAAAAGTCGTTGTATTTTCTCCCTGCTCACCCTGCTTTTCCGGTGCCACCAAGCTGGGCTGGAGCTGTAAATCAAGGCTGGCCAGCATCTCCCAGAGCCTGGCCCTCACCCCCAGACCCATGTCCCTTGTGGCCTCTGCCTTCTGCCTCCTACGGGTCAGGGGGAGGGGCAGCAGGTGCTCACTGAGCCCTGGGGGTGGGTGGTGGGCTGCAGGGGCTAAGGAGTGGTGATAGCTGGGCCCCAGGGGTTCCCTTCAGAAAAGTGCCTTCTTGCTACCCTTTTGCCGGAGGGCAGGGCTCATGTGTACTCCTTTCCCAACTTGCTGAGAAATCCTCAGCATCTCCCAGGTTGCTGTCCACCCAGCTTTCCCCCTGGGCTCCCTGCCCTAGAGTGACCCCTCCTAGCCATCCCTACCTCCTGGCCCTACATCTGCAGATCCCGAGGACCTATTCCAGCCAGGGCCAGTCTCCTAGGAAGAGGCCCCAGGAGAAAACAGCTTCCTTCCTTCCCAAAGGCAGCTTCCATGTGTCAGTCCCTCCCTGGGGCCCAGCTTGGGTGGCTGATGTCCTGTCTGTGCCCTGCTGGGGAGTGCTGCCCAGCCTAGCTCTCTGTAAGGCAGGTGGGTGGAGGGGTGAGGTGGGCCCCCTGGCGCTGGGGCCCTGCTCACCAACTTTCTCTGGTTGCTGAGGCAGAAGGTGCAGATCTGTTTGGGCTGCGCATTCTCGCCATCTCGGGCTGGCGGCGGCGGAGGCGGCGGGGGTGGGGGGCTGCCCGTGCGCGCCGCATGGAAGAAGGTGGGTCCGGAGTGGCACGGCTGCCCATCACCGCAGGCCTCGCCCACCAGCAGCACGTTGCCCAGGTGCGAGATATAGCTGGAGGCCAGGCGCAGCGTCTCGATCTTGGAGAGCTTGCGGTCGGCGGGTTCGGTGGGGATGAGCGTGCGCAGCGCCGTGAAGGCCGTGTTCACGCTGTTGGTGCGGTCCCGCTCACGAGCGTTCGCCGTGTGCCGCTGCCGGGGCTCGCGACCCGGCCGCCCCCCGGGCCCCGGCCCGCCACCCCCGGCCCGCCGGCCCACGGCCCTCCGCCGGGCGCCCTGGAGGCCGCAGCGCGCCGCGTGCACGCGGCAGGGCTTCTCGTCCGAGCCCGAGCTCTCGCTGCCGTGGTCCTCATCCTCAGACAGCGGGCTCACCTCGGGGTACAGGTAGCGGCCCGGCGGTGCCGAGCGTAGCATGGTGAAGGACACGGGCCGGGCGGGGGGGGGGGGGGGCCGGCGTCAGCTCCGCCGTGCGCCGCTCATGCCGGCTCCTGCGGCGGCCACGGGCCTCGTGGGCCGCCGGCCGGGCGAGGCGCAGGTCTCGGCTGCGCCCCGCGGTGGCGGCTGCCGGGCGCCGCGCGCACACGTGCGTCCTGGCTGGAGCGGGGCCGCGAGTTGCGCCTTTATAGCGCCGGCCGGCCCCTCCCCCGCGCCGCCGCCTCCTCCCAGGCGCAGCCCGTCCAGGCCGGGCCATCAAGTGAGGCTGGGCTGCCTAGTGGGGGGGGCTCTGCGCCCCGTTCCTGCCATCTCGTGGACGCCCGCCCCCCCCCCCGCCCCCCGTGCCCTGGAGCATCTTTCTGGCTCTGGGATGCAGGCGAAGTGGAAAGCCCCAGGTGCTACTGGACCCCCTCAGGAACTCGGTGCCTGCCCTTCTCTCTTGGTGTTCAGGGGGAACCCATGAGCAAGCAGGCTTTCCCTCCGCCTGCCCAGGTTTACCCAGATGCCCTGGCCCCCTTGTTCCTCCTGCCTGCACATGGCCTTCTGTGCCCAGCTGTGTGCCAGCCACAGGAGTGTAGAAGGGCCAGAAGTCAGCCCCAGCGGTTGCTGCCCAAAGACTTGTGTGTGGGGTGGCACAATCTGTGCCCTGCACCTGTCTGCTCCACGTCTGTGCCTTCTGCCAGCATCCTCTCTTTGTCCTAGACCACTACTGCCCCCCTTTCCCCCTGCCTGGTGCTTCTGGAGCCTCCTCAACACCGGAGACCAGCTCCTTCTAGGGCCTCTCCAACCGGGGATGGCCATCCCTTCCCCCAGCCCAAGGTGGAGGACGACAGGCTGACTGTGTAGATGTGGGGGGTGCTGGAGACCTCTTACCCCGTGGGACCACAGGGCCCAAGGAGAGGGCCTGGTCAGGCCTGCTGAGAGGGGCTGAGGGGCCAAGAGGTCCTGTCCTGCTGCAGAAGGGCCTTGAGCACCCAGCTGGACTCAAGTCTTGTCTGGGCCCCTACCCCCATGGCTACTGTTGCAGGAAGCGACTGCCTGGGCAGCAGTCCTTGGTCTGGAGGAGTGAGGGTGGTAGCTGGCAGGGGCTGAAACCAGGAATGTGAGTCCAGGAATGTGGCTGCTCTGCCCACCGAAGGAGGGAGGGGGCAGGGCCTGCAGGGGCAGGGAGGTCTCCAGCTACCTGTAGAGCAGAGCGCAGTGACTTCTGTCACCTTGTGGAGTGAGTGGGGAGGGGTCTCCCCCTGATCCCTGTCTCTAGCTACCCATTTTGGCCTAAGGCCCCCTGCCAGGGGAGGGAGCCCGTGGGCGATGAGGTCATCCCTGTCTGTGGCTGCCCAGGGCCGTGGCCAAGGAATCTGACGAGGGGGAGGCCAGGGCTGGCACCACTTCAGTGGAAAATGTGAAGGTGCGGCTGTGGGCCTCAGAGGCCTGGGGGGGCAGCAGCGCCGGCTGCTGTGCCACGTCAGACCCTAGGGCCAGGGAAAGGGCACATGTGGGGTCTGCCAGACTCAGGTGCTCGAGGCCCGTCCCTTTGCTCTTGCTCTCTCTCTCTCTAAACCCAGGGGGGCTTACAGGGAGGGAGAGCATGGTGGGACAGGTGCTGACATGGTGGCCCTGGCTACAGGACATCCGGAACACAGTGGGCAATGTGCCCCTTGAGTGGTACGAGGACTTCCCGCATGTGGGCTATGACCTGGATGGCAGGCGCATCTACAAGCCCCTGCGGACCCGGGATGAGCTGGACCAGTTTCTGGATAAGATGGACGATCCTGACTTCTGGTCAGTGGGCCTCTGGGTGGGGCCTGGGGAGTGTCTGGAAGCAAGGGCTTTGGCTCTAAACTGGCCGTCCCCCAGGCGCACGGTGAAGGACAGGATGACAGGGCATGACCTGCGGCTGACGGATGAGCAGGTGGCCCTGGTGCAGCGGCTACAGCGAGGCCAGTTTGGGGATGTGAGCTTCAACCCTTATGAGGTAGGTTGGGACAGCTGGCCCTGGGGATCTGGAGCTGGGCTGGGCCCCTGCCTGGACACCACACCTGTCTCCCTAGCCGGCTGTGGACTTCTTCAGCGGGGACATCATGATCCACCCAGTGACCAACCGCCCTGCCGACAAACGCAGCTTCATCCCGTCCCTGGTGGAGAGAGAGAAGGTGGGAGCTGCCTGCCCTCGGGCAGGGTGAGGCCTGTCCCCCAGCAGGCTGAGGCCCTGTGCTCTGTCCTGACCCGAGGCTCCCCATGTAGGTGTCTCGCATGGTGCATGCCATCAAGATGGGCTGGATCCAGCCTCGCCGGCCCCGAGACCCTACCCCCAGATTCTACGACTTGTGGGCACAAGAGGACCCCAACGCTGTGCTGGGGCGCCACAAGATGCATGTGCCTGCCCCCAAGCTGGCCCTGCCTGGCCACGCCGAGTCCTACAACCCCCCTCCTGAGTACCTGCCCACTGAGGAGGAGGTGTGTCTGGGGGGGGTGGGGTCTGGGCTTCGGGGTGCCCTCCTCCCCGCTCACCCCACCTGCCGGTCGGTCGGTCTCCACAGCGCTTGGCCTGGGCACAGCAGGAGCCTGGAGAGAGGAAGCTCAATTTCCTGCCACGGAAGTTCCCCAGCCTACGGGCCGTCCCTGCATATGGCCGATTTATCCAGGAGCGCTTTGAGCGCTGTCTTGATCTGTACCTGTGCCCACGTCAGCGGAAGATGAGGGTATGCGGGGTGGCATGAAGATGAGAGGCGCTGGGGCGGGGCCGGGGCCACGGTGACCAACTGCTCTCCTGCCCCAGGTGAATGTGGACCCCGAAGACCTCATCCCCAGACTGCCACGGCCAAGGGACCTGCAGCCTTTCCCCACGTGCCAGGCCCTGGTGAGTGGGGCCCCGGGGGTGTGGCCAGCACCCTGGCATCTGTCTCCTCACTGTCGCTTCTCCTCTGCAGGTCTACCAGGGCCACAGTGACCTTGTCCGCTGCCTCAGTGTCTCCCCAGGGGGCCAGTGGCTGGTTTCAGGTAGGCCTGGGGGCGGGTGGCAGGGGGTGGGGTCAGCCCTGTGCTTGGAGGCCGGCTCGGGGGGAGCAGGCACTGAGCATCTTCCCCGCTCTTCCCAGGGTCAGATGATGGCTCGCTGCGGCTCTGGGAGGTAGCCACTGCCCGCTGCATGGGGACTGTGCCTGTGGGGGCTGTGGTGAGGAGTGTTGCCTGGAACCCCAACCCCAGCATCTGCCTGGTGGCTGCGGCCATGTGAGTGTGGGTCCTGAAGGGCTCTTCATGGGAGGGGTACGGGGTGGGGGGGACACTGAGCTGAGGGGCTGCCTCTGACCCTGGCCCTGTAGGGATGAGGCAGTACTGCTGCTGAACCCAGCCTTGGGGGACCGGCTGCTGGCAAGCAGCACCGACCAGCTGCTGAGCTCCTTCGCCCCGCCAGAGGAGCCTGCCTTGCAGCCTGCGCGCTGGGTGGAGGCCCTGGAGGAGGAGCACCCAAGGGGCCTGCGGCTGCGCATCTGTCACGATAAGGTGTGTGGGGGGAGGACGGTGCATGGGCTTGCCCCAGCCAACAAGCCAGCCTCATGTTCTTTCACAGCCAGTGACGCAGGTGACCTGGCATGGGCGTGGGGACTACCTGGCCGTGGTGCTGGCCACCCCAGGCCATACCCAGGTGCTGATTCACCAGCTGAGCCGACGTCGCAGCCAGAGCCCATTCCGCCGTAGCCACGGGCAGGTGCAGCGCGTGGCCTTCCACCCCACTCGGCCTTTCCTGTTTGTGGCTTCTCAGCGCAGTGTCCGCGTCTACCACCTGTTGCGCCAGGAGCTCACCAAAAAGCTGATGCCCAACTGCAAGTGGGTGTCCAGCCTGGCTGTGCACCCTGCAGGTGAGGAACATGTCCCTGCGGTGGGGCTGGGGAGTGCACCGTAGACGCACTGGGCACGTCCTGTTGCTGCTCTGGTCCCTAGGTGACAACATCATCTGTGGCAGCTATGACAGTAAGCTGGTGTGGTTCGACCTGGACCTCTCCACCAAGCCGTACAAAGTGCTGAGGTGAGGGGCGCGGCCGGCAGTGGGGCGGCAGGGCCCCTCCAGCCTGCACCTGCTAGCAGTCCCGTCTTCCCCCAGGCACCACAGGAAAGCTCTGCGGGCTGTGGCCTTCCATCCCCGATACCCACTCTTTGCGTCCGGCTCAGACGACGGCAGCATCATCGTCTGCCATGGCATGGTGTACAAGTGAGTGTTGACCCTTGTCTGGCTCCCCGGGGGCTCTCGTGTCCAGCTGTGTCCTGAGTCCTTCTCTTCCACAGTGATCTGCTGCAGAACCCACTCCTCGTGCCAGTCAAGGTGCTGAAGGGGCATGCGCTGACGCGGGACCTGGGTGTGCTGGATGTGGCCTTCCACCCCACGCAGCCGTGGGTCTTCTCCTCAGGGGCAGACGGCACGGTCCGCCTCTTCACCTAGGCTGCTGCCCTGCTGCGGGGTGGGGGCCAGTGCCCAGCGTCTTCTCAATAGAGGCTTCCCCCTCCTTCCCACCAGTGCCGGACTTCACCTCATTGCTTTTTCTAAAATGGGAGTGGGGGGACATCTGCACCAGGCTGGGACACCCTCCTGGCCCGTCCCAGAAGGAGGGGCCACATCACTACACCCTGTTACCCACTGAGGAGCAAACGGCTTTATTGGGAGACCTGTGGGGGCTCATGGGCTTGCCCTGCCCAGTCTGGCCCCCGGCCCCTTCCCCACCAGCAGGGGCTGGGTCCGGGTAGCGCCTGGCAGCAGAGTGTCCGAGGAGGGTCCGCAGGGCCTTCCTCTGGCAGGTGCAGGCTGCTGGTCTGCCTCAGGCGAACTTCACCAGGCGGCCCAGCGTCTCGGCAGACTTCTCCCGGACCCCGGGTGCTGGGTCCCGCAGCAGGAGCTGCAGTGCTGGGAGAGGGAGAGGCGGCTGTGTGCACGCCCTGCGCCTGCTCCTGGGGCCGCCCACAGCCTTCCTCACGGAGCTCTGCTGGAAGGGCTTGGGAGCCAAC